GGAGATGAATGAACAAGACTAATGGCGGATTTGTCAAGTGTGGGGTGGGGGGGGGGGTGGGGATGGGGGGAGAACAGGGATGGGAGTGTCACAAGTACCTTTCACAGACACTCTCAAAAGCAAGCCTCTCGGGAGAGCAGAGGACAACTGCTGAGTCACAGCAGAAGGGTTGGAAGGCAGTGCAGTGAGCCACTAAGGAGATGTGGAGAAATACAAAAAGGAATTTTCTCTTGAGAACTCCAAAGATATCCCAGTTTTTTACATTTGTCCTACTCAGAGAAGAGAGAAATGGTGGTTAATCTCTTGGAAGGAAAAGCTCATTTTGGAACCTATGATCTCTAGATAGCAGCACAGCTCCTTCACATCTCTTTAGAGACTCTATTTACACATGTAAATTTACACGTGTAAATAGAGACAAGCATTTCTTCTCTCTGGTGATAATAGCAAAACGAGTATTTTGCTGTAGTTTTTCATCTTTCTCTTCCTATCCTCCTCTTCCATCTGTTTCTCTCTCTCCGTGACATGTCCTTCCATAACTTCTCAGAGCCATGTGAAAGGCCCTTGAATTCCTGATGGTTGTGACCTTCTATTCCACCAATGCTGATAGCCCAGGAACGTTTTTTTTCTAGCCATGCCACTATCATAAAACCTGTTGCCATAGAAAGCCTTTTTTCAAAACCATTGAAAGCACTGGCCACTGAACTTTCATCGTTAAGAGTGGCAGCTTCATGTCAGAAATATATACAGTGGTGCTTAAAAGCTTGTGTTTAATATTTCTGCATAATGTTTTTGATTCATTTGTTTAATTGGGTTCTCTTTATCTAGTTTTAATAGTGTGGAAAACAGATCACATATTAGGTCATATTTATGCAGAAATACTGAAAGGGTTCACAAGCTTTTAAGGACCACTGTAGATATAATAGATGTATGCTTTGGGTTAGGGAACAATATAAGGATATTACTATTTTTTGGCAATTAGATACTTCATATAATACTGCATAAAAATGCCCAGAGTATTGTGCAGTTACTATTTGACTATAAAACAAAAGTAGCTAAGGAACAGAGAATATGCAGTAGGTGTGGTGTCCACACCATTATATCTCTGACAGAAGAATAATCAGAATGAGAAGTCTTTACCGGAGGAAGGATTACATTTCCCCAGAAGAAAATAATGTTTGAGCACTTAAAATGAATGCAAACAGCCAAAGCAGCCAATTGTCCTACGTAATAACAACATGAATAGGAAACAAGCATGCATTTATTGTACAAAACCTGATATTGCAGAAAGGCAACATCCAAACTTTGGAACGCAGACATCCTCAGAATCTGACAGTTTCATCAGTGACAAAATGAGCGGCGTGACACAAACTCTACCCCTTCCATGTGCATGACATCACATTGCATGTATGCAGGATCAGAGCTTGTGTTGTAACATTTGGATGCCCTTCTCCGAATTTCTTGCCCCCCTGCCCCCGGCATCCATGTTTTTGGAGCAGAAAACTGGCCTGTGAATTGACTTGCCAACCACACAAATGCACTGGGTTTAAAATTATTTGAAAAAGTAAATACCTTTATTTTTATTTAAGAATAGCATACAGGCTGCTGGACAACTGAAGCCTTGGATGCCAGATGCTGAGAACCAATGAAAAAATACCTGCTTAGGATAGTGGCTTATTATTATTATTATTATTTACAGAAACAAGGAATAAAAGGAGCCTCATTTAGAACAGGGACCCTGTGAGAGCCATTCTATTTTACGTTTTCATTTCTAACTAAATATTTCTGAGTGGTGACTGTGACAATGAAGCGGGGATAAATATTTTTTGCAACTCAGATACTTATGGGATTTATTGTATATGAAAAAAAAAAGATTTTTCACTTAAGCTGGATATTAAGTGTTTGTAAAAATGTATACCTCTGATATTTAGATACCTGAACACATTCCATACCAACGAATAGTAAGGGAAGTTTCAAAGGCAAATTTAAGTTTCCTGTTTCCCTTTCTTTTCCCTTGATAATAACTGCCTGCTTCTTAGGCACCTTTTTGATTTAACGGAGTGTGTGTCCGTGTGTGTTTATATGGCTTTCTTGCTCAACATTCTTCTCCTCGGGATAATTTAAATCATGTTGGAGCATTAAGATGTTTCACATTTCGGACTGTGGATAGTCATAGGATGGGCAAGGTGCCTTTGAGTATGTGCAATGTTTTTTTATCTCACTGATGAGACACATAAGCAGCCCTTGTGCATCTGAATAATGCTAGGACAGAGGGCAAGCCTTGTAGCATTGAGCACAAGAGATCTGCCATTTTACAGATGAAGATGAATCACTTTGCAGTAATATTTAACACAGGATTTCTGTGCAAATATCTTGTGGAAATGGTGTAGGTATGGAAACTGACTACCAGTGTTCACTAGAATGGGTATGTTTTAAAAAGCAAAGGTTCCTTCCCAAGGAACTGCTGGCATGCTCTTTCCATTTTTTTGACAGGGGAATTGTCTTGAAAGCCTCTCTTGCCAGGCAGGCCAGCTGACATGTGTTCAAGGAATAAGTGCAATAGCAGAGCTGAAAGGATGGGAAGCTTTTCAGGATCAGCCTCTTCATTCTCCCAGCTATTCAAGCTGCTGCTATTCCCTCAGTTTCTCTCTCCAGAATGACTATACTGTAGTCGTTATGTTCCTTATATTCCTGCTTATTATTTGCTTTCAGAATAAATCAAGCATAACTAGAAATCATTCATTCCATAAAGGAGGGGAGAAATATCCTGCCATTAGTGGAGCTGTTGAATTTACTGGAAAAAAGTTTCAGATTAAATATTTCCTTTTTTTTTTTTTTTATAATGTGAAAAGGTGCTGAAAAAGAAACTGGCATATTTTAAAATAGATTGCTATAGCATTTTAAAAGTATTTTGAATAAAGCTTACTTTCCCATCACTTTCAGCAAAATCAGTTTTTTTCATGTTTTCAATAGTCATAAAGAGTCAAAACAGCTCTTGCCCCTTTGTGATTTATTTTATTCTTTCAGAATGTACTCTTACAATGCTGATCTCATCTTTGATTAATATTGGGAAGATTCCATTTTGTGTGACCTTAATAAGCATTGTTAAATTTTTCTCTGCAATAGCTCTGTTGGAACTCAAAATCATCAGATAGGTAGCCTTTTGTGTTAGGCAATGTGTAAAGTAGAAGGACTTTGAAAAATCAGTAATATTTCATTCTGGTATTTGCCAAACTTTACAACAGTTTATCCCAGTCTAATTGCAAATATAGCAACATCTATAATAGTATGCAGCATTGTTTCTTGAATTGTACAGGTAGCTAATTCAAGTCAAACTATAGTATATATAGAGATGATATAAAGGGAAACTTACTAGAACTATTTTCTGAAAATGGAGAACTAAAAATACAATCCATACAGTTGATTCACAACTTGTTCACCTGATCTTCCTTTAGGAGAACAGTCAGAAAAGCTGACTCTGGGGCATCCAACTCAAAAGCAAGATGAAAATCAGAATGCCAGTGAAGCTTTAGATAATGTCTCTAAGATATATGCTTAATCTTAGATAGGCTAAGTTAAAGCATTCCTCTTCAGAGATGCTGTTGTAAAGGTTTTGACAGTTACTATCATGTATAAACAAAAAAGATCAGTAAAAAAAAAAAAAAGATTTAAGATAGTTTTCATTCTACAAGAAGCATGTTGCTATTCAGCATACCTTAAAAAGGTTGCATCCTGGCCTACAAAACACTACACTTGAAGGCATTCACTGCTTATACAGTGTAGCAAGGAAAGGAAGCTTCTTTGATAAGGATTCATGCATCTGTAACCAATATGGTATGTTTGGACTACAAGAGGACCTTAAGAGCGAACTCAGAATTCTGGAATTCCCTCCTGTGGGCATAGGGAATCTTCAAAAGTATTTTTAGTATTTATACATTATAGAATGTTCCCCAGTTTGTAATGTATGGCAATATAACTTTTCAAAAGCTGCCTCACTTATTGTGACAGCAGGGACATTGGTGGCAGTGTTCAGTCTAATGGCTCCAACTGAGGTTAATTTTCTGGGCTACAGTAGCTGGTATTAACTGTGACATTAAACCATCATGAGCAGAATGGCAAGTGCTGTACTGAGCACGGAAATGAAACAGTCCTTGCCAAGAAAAATACCAGCAACAGATATATAGCAAAGTAAAATAGGTGAGGTTTAGAGAATTGATTAAAACTCTGTCCTTTACATCAAGGTAAAGAGAGTTTACATCAAAAGCTCTAAATACTAGCCTTAGACTTATGAGGGAAATGCCTTTGGATTTTCACCCTTGCCCTAAAAGTAACAGTTATGTTATAAGTAAGCAAGATATCTACTCTGCAAAAAGGGTGAGGTGGTGACTGGAAAGAAAAAAGACTGTGTTTTTATTAGGTTCTTGTGCCATGTAAATCATAGGCAGTAATGTTATAAAGATGATCATACAACAGTACATCAATACATTTACATCTGTGTGCCACAGAATGTTTTATGATAAGATAGGGCACACAACTCTATTTTAATGTACAAATGGTTTTGGATCTTCAAGAAACCCCTGACCCACAGCAAAATGATGCAGACTGGCTTCTAAAGTAGGTGTAAGAAAGCAGATACCTAGCCATCTAGGAGGTTGTACACTTCAATTGAAAAAATGCCCACAAACAAAACTTTAGCCATTGTTTAAATATTGATTGAGTAGTAGTTTCTGGCTAGTCAGTAGGAGATATTTACACTTTGCAAGTTGCTGTTAATAACCCATCTTGTTAAAACAAGTCAGTAATGCAACTTATAAAAAGAGAAGGCAAGAACCGAACCACACAAACAACCCCAGACCCTT